CTCTACTTTGTCTTTTGAGACAAGATCTCTTACTATCTTGCAGTTCATCATGCTGGTGTGGCTGTCCCACTTGTGAGCTCCTAGGGTCTGACTGTCTTCTCTCCCCAGTGTGCACTGAAATGACAAGTGGCTGCCACCACACCTAGCATCTGTTTTTATTGTGAGTAATATGAGTTTCATGGCATCACACTCAGGTCCAGCTCTTACAAGACAGACATGTTACCAGTTGAAGCATCTGCCTTTTCATTAGGACATTGATGCCTGTCTTGCTGATAGAGGTTGTATCTTTCTGTTTCTGAGACTTTAGTGCATCGGGATATTGAAAACAAAATCTTCAATGTGAAATTTATGTTAATGACTTTTTTCTTAAACCTTGAAGTGAGATGGGGAACCCTCACTCCTGAATCTTATATAGAGGAAGGGGGAGGAGCAGCACTTTTCTAGAATGATCTTCTAATGGCAGCCGAGGAGACTGCAATCTCAGAAAACCCTTAGTCCTTTCATGTTCTGTGCCACTTTGGGGTCATGCTGCAGAAGAGAGGAAGGCAGGAAGGGCACGACTGTGAGTGTGGGTCACTGTCAATTGCAGAGGACAAGTAAGTGGCACCTGCTTGTGACTCATATATAATAAAGGCTGTCTTATTCAGTGATCTTTGTTGTATGTTTGGACAGCATCTTGTAGGCTGGGTGATGGCTGTTCTCAGGATTTTAGGATTCTCTGCCTTTTAAGTTTACAAATTTTCCTTCATCTTTCTCACAACCTGTAACCATTAGAATGCTTTTGTCAATTGTTAGATTGTTTTAGTGGTTCTTGCTGAGTGTCAGCACACAGGGTCAACAGTAGGGTTAGTAGATAACACTGTCCAATGGAGAAAGAAACTAAATCTGTTGAAGACTACTGCAGATCAAAGAAGGGATTTAAAATACAGAAGTAGAAAGAAAACGCTACAGGAACAAAAGGCAAATGTGGGGGAAAAATCAAACAGATAAAGTAGTGCTGTTAATGTAATGACCCATAAGGAAGGTTAAATGTAAGAATAACAGAGATGAAGGCAGAATTTTGTATTATAAGATGGACAGAAGAAAGGTACTGAAATGGTTTAGAGTTGAGTACCTCTTACAGGGTATCTTGTGGGAGTTTTAGAAGAACAGATACACCCTGTATGGCAGTTTAAAGGAAAATGGCCCCCAAAGGAAGTGGCACTATTAGGAGGTGTGGCCTTGTTGGAGGAAGTATGTCACTTTGGAGGCGGGCTTTGAGTCTCATATATACTTACGCCATGCTCAGTGAGAGAGACCACTTCCTGTTGCCTTTGAGTCAAGATGTAGGACTCTCAGGTACTTCTCTAGCACCATGTTTGCCTGCCTGCCACCATGTTGCACCATGATAATAATAGACTAAACCTCTGAAAATGTAATTAGATGATTTTCCTTTATAGGATTGGGATGGTCATGATGTCTCTTCGCATCAATAGAAATCCTAATTATGACAGCCTGTTAATAAGGAAAGCTGTGTTTTCAAGTAACACATGCCTTTCATATGTAACAGGATTATGTCCCCCAAATATGTTATGAGTCATGACAACATTTTAGTGACTATTTCTGCTTCTGAATCCTTGTCCTATATAAGTCAATCTTGAAGCTTTCCCTTCTGTAAGGAGAGACTGTCTTCCTGCAGTTTTTATCTGTCTGTCTACCTTTCACATTCTAGTAGCAGCATTTGCTTCTTTTTTCGGAGACCATCCCTCCCTGGGAGTGATGTCTTGGGGAAGTTGTGATGTGTTATTGTCTGTCAGGTGGTGCAATACCTCCCTGGTTCTGGGTCCTACCAGGATGGTTATTCTTAGAGTTCTGATGTTGAGGGCACAAGGACAAAGACAATTTATTTCAACAATAGAAGTCCCTGGGATGATGTTGTATAGTACCTGGTCCCAAAGAACCAGGGCTACTCTTACAGCCTTTCCCCAAGCCTAGGAAGCTCTGCTTGTGAATGGGTGGCCTATCCATACTTTCTCTCTTATTTCTGACAGTTACCTTCTTGCCTGCCTTCCTAAAAACTTAATGGAGCCAGCATTTTATTTCTGTTTTTCAGAAAAGGAAAATGCAATGTCGAAAAAAATAAGGTTTTTTTCTGTCAGTTAAGGGTGAAGCCAACCACTCATGCCTAGCCACAGACCTACTTGCCTGCCATGATGACATCTCTGTGTACTTATATATTCTTCAGATAAACTTGTTGAAAGTTGTTTGTCAATAAAAGTAACTTGTGTTTCAGGCATTTTTCAAAGGTTAGTTTTATTTGTGAGTGTGTGTGTGTGTGTGTGTGTGTGTGTGTGTGTGTGTGTGTGAGAGAGAGAGAGAGAATATGCATGTGAGTGCAGGTGACTGTAGAGGCCAGAGGTATTTGATTCTCCCAGAGTTAGAATTATGGATGGTTGTGAGCCATCTGATATGGGTGCTAGGACGCAAGTCCTCAGGAAGAGCAGTATGTGCTGTTAACTGCAGAGCCATCTCTCAAGCCCCCAAGGACATCTTTTATTCATTTCCAAGTATTGCTTAGTAAAAGACCACAAAGAGTGGCTTAATACACACGCCTTTGAATTTGCTTATCTGCAGTTTACGAGGAGGGGAGTCCTGGTACTGTACAGCTGGCCTTCTGCCTAGGGATCACCAGGCTGGAAGAAAAGACTTGATTGCTCTGTATCCTCATCTGAGATTCAAATTCTACCTCCAGATTCTTGGCTATCGGCCAGAATCTGGC